TGAGGACTGAGAGGAAAAGGAAGCCATTGGTAGGTTTGCCGCGGATGGGAATTGAGGAGGGGAAGCGGGTTGTCGCTAACAATGTTGCTAACATACGCAAAAATATAGGCAAAAACGCAAAAAAAGGAAAAAAAAAGGAAAAAAGAGGGGGTTGGTATTGGTGAGGACTGAGGACGGTGGGCGAACAACTCGCCCCCGCCACTCAGTCCCAGTGGACCGGAGATTACTGAGCTCTGTGCCCAAAACCTGTGCTTATATGGGGGAAGAATATGGGCGTTGCCAACGTAGATGTATAGATGACCTCAACCGGACTGTAAAATGTGCCTACCGTATACCCTGCACATCACATATTCGTGACCTGACAGGCCATAAAACTCCGCCCTTCTCCCTTTTTTTAGGTTTCAATAGCCCTCACCCTATTTGTAGCACAGGGCTGCACGGGCAACCCTACCCGTCCTCTATAGAAAAAATTTTTGGCTGATCGTGTAAGACACCAGCCGAGCCGGGCTGAGCCGAGTTTTAGTAACTGCCTTTTACTAGGCACGGGCTTTATGTACAGACGCAAATAATTTTCAAATAGCAACACTGCAGCCACATCCAATAATACAGGCGATCTCTTTATGGAATGGAATTATGCACCAAAACTGGAACGTGCCAAGCTTACCGATACAATCATGCTTTTTACACTAAGCTTGAAGCAGTCACGTCTTAAACTGTATGAATAGTTGCTGCTTTACACTTACCATATGCGCCACCAGCGTAAATCATCGTAATTTTTGCACAAGAAACCCAGGCTGGAACGCACCAGGCACTCCGGTGCAATTATGCGTTTTTGGACTAAACTCGCAGACCACTTTTAGCAGGAATGATTCGTACGCTGTAGCCTAACACTTGGGTCATATTGGAGTGCTTTGATTTTTTCCGGCAAGCAGGAGGAAGCTTGTCAGTTGGGATGAAGGTGGTGCATTATAGAGCTGCATGGACATCCAGGTGCATGATTAACGGTTTTCTGCATGAAGTCCGGTGATTTTTTCGGTAAATGCTCGCTTTGTGGAAAAATGACAAATGCAAATTTTCTGACAAAATGGAAATTTCCAGTTCATTAAAAACTGGAAGTACTGCTCGAATGGTCGTTCGTCAAAAATCCACGTTCAATCACATATACGATCGCGGTTCAGATCCGAGTTGT